AAGACACTTTTATTGTTAAAAAGAACATTTTCTACACTGCCACTATTCGGGATTAGCAGTACTTGTTGTTCCCTTCTTTATTTATTTATTTTTTGTAAAGAACGTAGTACAAAGGGAAGGGTCGGCTAATGGCTGTCGCTGTTACGCTCATGATACCATCAGTGAAATGAATGTTTCAGTAAGCAAGTTTTAATAATCAAGACCAGGTGGTTTTTTTGCTTCTAAACGTGCAGATTTCCGGCTCTTGCCAAACTGTGTCCACGAAAGAAATGCTCATCGATCGTGTTATGGGAGGATTCTGAATTTACGTCAGCTTAAAAGAGGAAACAAAGCGTAAGATGACCACGTGGCTTTACTAAACGCCGCTCAAACATTGTTGTAATAAGAGCTGCTCTTACTCAATAAATTTTGCGGAAAATTTTGCCCTTACCGTCTGACATTACGGTTTTTAAGTAATTCGGTCCAATCATGAACGCTATTTCATTTATGACAGTCCGGAAGCAGGACATAACGCATATTTAGTGAAATTCTCACCAGCTACTGTTACAAAAGTTTTAAAGACCGCCTCAGTGTAATCGCTTGTCCGAAACCCACTAGAGGTTCCGAGTTTTGCTCATATAAGAATATTAATAATAATTCTCAGAATCGACTTTCTATTAGCCTCAGCATTGGAGTATGAATGCGTCGTTTTCTTCTTCAGCAATCGCGAAGTTTTTAAACAGCATACATTTACTTCCATAGAGGAACACAATACAATACAACACTAGCTGACGTTTCGGCAGTATCGCCTTCTTCGGAGCCTGGAAGGGTATACTGATATACAATCTACTAGGCCAAACGCTTCAATAACGCTTACAAAAAGACGAAAAACTCTTTGGTAATTACATGATCAACAGTATCTCGAAAAACTCACCGCTTCTTACGTGACTTCCAATGAGGAAGTTTAAAACAGCTGATTATAGTCGGATATGGTTGATGACTGCACCATACCACATCAGAAATTGATGCGAACATACGGGGTCAGGTCGCGTATGACCTCCGGGCATTCATCCCTGCTATTCATTGTAGGGTTTTTGGCATTTATCCAAAAAGCCTCAAGGAGTTTTCGCGCTGGTGTTTTGGACTCCTGTGCAAGGATGTTGACTTTTACTTCAAAATCGTCTCCGCTATGCTTTCGTTTCCTATGCGTGCCTAGTGGGGTGCTTCGTCTTAGTTTTCGTTTGCCATCTAGGTGTTCTTTTATACGGATACACAAAGGTCTGCCCGTTTCGCCAATATATTCATCTCCGTAATTACTACAAGAGATCAGGTATATCGTACCTGAACTCATGCAATCACCGTCTCTGCCGTAAGGGCAAATTACGCAAATTTGTTGCTTCACATAGGCAGAATAATATTATTAATTATTATTATATTATATTAATCTTAAAATATTACGTTTGCTTTATATTAAAAGTATTATTTGTTTGCTGTATCTACGACAATTGTACTGTTTCCTACTGAACGACGCTTCGAAAAAACCCTGTGGGTCTCCTCTATAAAGTATGCTTGCAACGTTCTCTAAATGATGTTTGTACAGAAACAATAGCACATCGTGTGTTTTGAAATGATAGGTGCTAACCAGTGCCTCTTATAGTTCATCAGCCCTGCTCTCACCCATCACAAACCAAAAGGGCACTTGTAACAAACGTGTTTCGAACAGCCGTCAGAGTGTGCACAGAAAGAGAGCAGTAAGAAGAATCCTATAAATTGGCGGGACAAATAAGCACTTCAAAAGATTACGGAAACATATGCAATGAACCTTGGTGCGTTCACCGGGAAATACATACTATGAATTGAAGCTAATTAGGAGGGCTTTCTATGCCTATCTAGAAGTTACTTTTTCGTTCAATTTTCATCAACTGTAATCTGATTGCTGATCAAATAAAATAATCAAACAAGGAACGTAATCGAAAACACACTAACGTACGCGTGAATCCCTTCTCAAAAACACAGAAGACATGTGCTAAAGACTGAGCTACAGCCGCTGAATTGTACAACATTCAAAGGATCTGGAATGTTTTGACAGCTCTTTCACAAAACGTGAAGTAGAAGATAGCACTCCCAGCCAACTTCAATTCATAGTATATATTTCCCGTCTGTGAACGCAGCAAGGTTTATTGCATAAGTGCTCCAACTTAATCACAAGTAGGACGCAAACAGATGTCACTAAATGTAGACGATCAAACCCACAAAATATATCTTACCTTCCTATTTGTACCATCTTAAGATCTCCTTGCTGTCGTTGTCATCATTCCGTGATGGTTCACATTCTTACGATTATTTATAATTTGGAGCTATTTTATTTCCCACAATCAACATCTTACATTCAATTTTTGCATTCGCATTTTAGTTTCAGGTTTCTTGTTTCCATTTAAGCCCTGGAGACCGTTAAATCAAAAAGCTCAGCTCACAGTTCTTAGTTTGTCAGCTAGCGGTCTACTCTCTAGGTTCGTGGAATTGCTAGTGAACTTTCCTGTGAAGGCAAGCACACTGATTTAATTCACCGCTAGCTCTCAGAAAACAATGTAAGAGCAAATATGTATTTGGGTGCCTCTAAAATTCTACGAGTTGAATAGAATTCAGTATACACCGCTCAGGTATTTCGCTTGCCTTCTTTGCCGTTCTTGTCCACTGATGTTCTAACAGAAATTTACCATAATTTTGTGCTCTCTATTCGTCGAACTTAGATGACTTAATTGTCCACTGTAACGAGAGGATGAACAGTTTCCGAGTTACCGTTTTCTCCTTAGTTCTTAATAGACCAATGTAATGTAGACCGACGATTTGTGATCGCGTTCGCGCGGAATATTTAGGCCAACTTTAGCATAAATTTACATCAGTGAAATATGTCTAAATCCATCTTTTAGCGTTGGAGACGTTTCACAGTGTTGGTGTCGCCTCAGCGAATAAGAAGCGCCTCGCACCAGCATAGTTTTTGTTTCGTTTTATTACTAACACTCTTACTAACAGTTGGAAGCCATTTGAATCCAAATTTCCACATGCTCCCTTTTCCATCACTTCGGCTTTTTCACCTGCATAGCCGAATTACGAAAAACAAATTCGTAGTGATGGCTTATACGCTACTAAAGAAGTTGTGAAGGGAATTATGTAGTGGATCTTTCACATCTCTCTACTGAACTCTGGAAGTCGGCATCGGCTTGGAAGAGTACGGTCTACTTCGACCTCATCTTGAAATAGCTTTATGTTCGGACATGGGCAAAGATAGGTCGCCTATTGCGCATTGTTTAGAGGTACCCTGTTGTACACATATCATCGTTGTATCCCACGTTCCATGCTCACCAAGTCTTCTATCTTCCTGGGTTCGTTAAATTGGTACCAGATTTGCCTGCGAGGTTAGTAGCGCTTACATGATATATCGGTAGGCTATCTAGGATCACTTTATATGCCAGATATGCATTCAGTAACCTCTAACGATGTTTGGGTGAAGGCGAATGCACGGCACGCTCCTCAGCGATTGATCAACATTGAGAGACATGTCCTTTAGCTTCTAGAAAACGATGATTTTTAAAGCCTACAATGGTCCACGTCTTTGCAGCTGTAAACAGTTTGACTGAAGTAATTTATTGAAGGCAATCATTGAAGGCCATAGCCAACCTTCTGTTGGCGAGCATTCCAACGCCGCCCAATCCAGTTCTAATGCGGTTCTGAAAAATTGTTGTTTTCCCATTTTCAGAAAGCAAGCCTAACGTGTGACGTCTTCTTTCCATCCCTCAGTCCGTTAACCTGCTAGCTAATCTTGCCAACATCAGCCATCAAGTTGCCAACGAAGAATTTTGGTGATAGTTTCTATGCACTGTATCTACTGCCTTCGTCATAGTTATTCCAGATTTAATACGTAGTTGTGGAGCCACCAGCTAAATAAGAAACAAAAACATAAGCAATGAATAGTTTGAACAAGAAGGCCACAGTGAAGAAGTACTTCTGACGTTCAAGTTTGCCTAAAATTGTTAGTCGATTATGTGGTTAGGAAAGTTATGGCGAAGTTTTCACTGGTAAAACTTAAGAAAATATGTTAGACATGCATTTGAAGAAATGGTATCAATCTGTCCCAGCATGTTCACCACTCCATTGTACCATCCGCAATCCGCAGCAACCATAACTTAAATCACTGCCTTTAATGTTTAAGCCCACATGCTGACAATGATAAACATTTTCATATTAAAGAAAAACCGAGGAGTACTGTAACCCCTATCTTATTCCAATGGCGATTTCTTCTCCGGATTCCTCGGAATATGGCGTCACCATAAGCTGGTGTAACGAAAGCCGTTGGTGGACACTTCACTTCTTACTAACTAGGCACGGTCTTCGAGAGTCAGAATATGTAAAAAAAAAAGAGAGGAATTGATGACCGGTTAAGTTGCTGTCTACTTTTCATCGTTGAACCCGTCGGCTTGCTAGTTTTAAAAAGTGATAGCATTCATAAATACAAAGTAACAAAAGAGAAACAACACAAAGGTTAAACACAACTGAAACGTTAAAACTACACTATGAGATTTATTTACAGAGCTTATAAATGAAAAGCAACATTAGCTTCTCTTGGTGAATCGAGCCCAGCTTTGGGCGGTACGTCTACCCAAATTACGAACAATAGACTTCACTTCGTGGTTCTCCTGCCTGCTATGACTAAGCTCTCTGTTCGTTCTATTTTCTCGTGAAGACGCCTAAATTCGGGCTGAACAGGGTTATAATGAAAACACTTCATCCAAGTCCTAGGTCCTAGGAGAAAAGTAGCTCTCGGTGAACATTCGAAGTTCACTTCCCAGGTAAGATGATTTTCTACAGCGTTGGTTATCAACACGCCTTTGATAATTATAATGGTTTTTTGGAGATTTACGTCTTAACTAGACCTTATTTAGCAACTTTCTAAACTAGGGTTAAAAATGTACGTAGGAAACAAATAGGGTATAGGCTGAAGATACCAGTAATTATGCACAGCTTTAGAGATGCAAGGGCATCTGGAAGAACCATAAAAAACTATTTTGATTTTGAGTAGATCTCGAAGATGAGAGCGATGGGAAAAATACCTCTTCGAGTGATTCATCGTCACAGCTTTCTCTCCATCCCTCGCTTGAATCGTACAAAGGATTCACTCTCATGATGAACTCACACAGCTGCTCAAATTCTCGACTCTGAAAACTGCTGAGGAACAGTCCAATGCTTGTCTTTAATACGAACATTTTATGTAAAATGCTTAATTTGGACCCTTAGCAAATAGTTTTTGTTTAACCTGGATTTGCAAGCTACTCCTGACAAAGTTGCTGCTACGACTTGGTGTCTGGTTCGATCGCTGCCCGTGTGTTTCCGAGCGTCTGAAATGTGCAGCAATAAATTCGAACAATTGAGGCCTTACCATACACACCTAACACCATTTTGACGATCAGTGTTGAATAAATGATTCCTTCGCCGCTGGTGAAGCTTATAATACAGCATGGAACATGACAGCATTATTCGATAAGTATGTCTCATTCGATCATTAAAATAGGCATAAATAAACGGATTACATAAATGACTGCAAAGCCACACCTGGAAAAACAAAGTTAATCTGTAAAAGAGCTTCTTCAGTGAGTTAGACCGGTTGTTGTTATCCTTCCTGCGACTTATTTTTGGAATCATGAATATTTAGTTCCGAAAAAATGATCGCTGAGAGGCATTCTGCTTTCATTACATTGGTTAAATTGGACTCTCCTTGAACTCAGCTTAATACTTGATTTTTCACCACTACTTGACTTTCCCACCTCCAATATTCTTCGAGCGATTGTAGCGCAGTGGTTAGAGGCGCCTTGCAATACATTTGACTTCGATCTCGCGCCTCAGGGTCACAAAGTCTTCCATCGCCTTCACTTGGGTTTAGCGTTTCAACATAATTCTTCAGTGGTTTTGAAAACTATGAACATGAGAAACATTTTTCGAATTTCTTTTAGCAAAAGTTTGATTACTCTTACCGAACCTCTGGTTCCATTTCAAATATGAGAATACGGAAACTTGACAGGTCAAATAAAGGATGTATAATGGTAAACCGTACCGCGTTGATATATACTTCGTAGGTGGACTATGTGAACAATTCTATGAGCATCGTAAAGGTGAACTAATGCACATTTAGCCTTTACAATGGCTCTCAGGCTCATATTTGTGTATCGGATCAGTGTTTTCATCCTTTCAAGTAAGTCCGCCACAATTGGCGGACCCCGGAATGATAGAGGATTTGATGAGCCCGGAACACGAAATCGAACCAACGATCCACGATTGCACTGGGACCGCCTCTAACTTCTAAAATTGTGGTAAAAGGATAAAGGATAAAACTCTCGGCGTTGATCAATCCTTGAGAGATGCGCCATGCATTCGACCGCATTAAGTATCGTTGGAGGTGATTGAATGCATATCTGGTCTTTACAATGACTCGCGGTGGCATGCCGATGTATCGAGCCAGTGGCGCTATCATCCCAGACAAGTCTGGTACCAATTTGCCGACCCCGGAAGGATGGAAGCCTTGGTGAGCCAAGGGCGCAGGGATCGATTCTATGTGTGTGTCGCAGTGGCACTTCCAACCACTGCGCCACATGCGCCTTGCCAAAATTGTGGTAGCAATAATTATTCTAGCATGGTGGCATTTTCGTTCACCATTCTACAATTTGTCAAAACATTTCGGTAACTTACTACATGCAAAAGAATCATTTGCCACGATTTGAGGAAATCATGGAAGAAAGGTTTAAAGAAATATAGGAATGTTGAGACGGTGCATAGAAGTGATGGAAAGAAAAACTGGAACGTCAAGCGAGCCTGGAACATTTTTGTATAATTCCTGCATAGACCAGTCATACTCTCGATAGATAAAGGAAGCGCATTCTAGCATGCGTTGTAAATTCTGTAGAAAAACCACTTTATATTAAACGAACGGCAACATTTGAGTAGCAAACCATGTTTGTCTGTTATGAACGTGTAGGGATGCTATTTATTTCCTACGAGCTTTCAAAATATGAGAAAAAAGCTAAAACAAAGCGATTTGAGTGTATTGGCTGCTTTACCGACATTGTTTTAGTTTTCTGATAAAAGTGTTTCTGAAAATACCTGCTTGTGGAAGCGATTTGCACTGCCTTGATTCAACTTATTCTTGTATATTCGCTGTTTCACTTCACGAATCCTCAGAAGAACCATTATGGAACAAATCCACTGAATTCCAACACCAATGCAGTCAATTATACAAATAGAAGCAATAAATAGCCCTAGAATTAGCACTGTATGGATCACCTTAGAATGTGCTTTGTAAAGAAAGATGTGCAGGTATATTGCTTAACATCGCCTTCTCTTCAATTTATAGCAAACAGATTTCTTTGAAACTAATTAGAATAAACCACATTTGCTGGCAATATCTCTTCACACAAATATTCGTAAAAACTATTATTTTAAACTGAATATATCCGTGAATAGAAGCGGCTCTATAGCTATGATATGTGAGACATCACTTTACACAAGTAGACAACCCAGGCAGAATGTCGCGACCAGTTGAGTTATTTGTCTCTACTTTGATCACCGAATGAATGAAGCCGCCGCTAATAACGTCTCTATAGAAGCTATGATTTGGGACAGTTTCACATGAGTTTTTCCTAATTGATGATTTCCAACAATCTCATACATCTTCATCAGAGCTTTAGAAAACACTTGCTATTGCGTTGCCTGACATCGTGTTGTCCATATAACATCTCGAAAAGTGCAAAGTGTTACCCTTTTGCTTCATTTGGTTACACCATGTCTCGACAAATCACATTTAGATTTTGAAGCATCTGCCGTGGCAAAAGCTGTAGCAAAAAAGGGTTAAGTGGAGAACAAATGCAGTAGGCTTTCTTCACTGTCTCGCTAACACTGCGCTTAACCTTGATTTCAAACTATTTCTTATGTTCAATAGTTAACCTACATAAACAAAGCTAAAGTGTTCAGTGAAAGCTACACTGCAGAAGGTGGATAGAGTGTTGAAGGAAACAAGTTGCTATCCTATCAGTCCACCCGTACGATCCAAGCCAGCCAATAAACGTTTCGCTTAAATACTATGTTTTTGCACTACGTCTTGAGGCTAAACGTAAGAGCTAAGGACAGACTGATCTGCTCTTAAGCAATAGCTCTTCCAATGTATTCAATACTCAGGTACTCGCAAAAGGATGCAAGATGTAATAACTCTTTATAATATAGAAGAATGTTAGCTCCAGCTGACGATAATCTCATTTTAGGCTTGAAAAGTTTGTGTACGATTCTGAGGCATTTCTATTAATGCTAGGAATAGTCTGGTGCGGTCCTTCAGTTTTTTTTTTGACATATCGTTGGACATATGTCGCACTAAGATAATCAAAGCACAATGGCATTAAGCCATACCGGCGCAGACTTTTAGATTCCTTCAGCAACACGTCACGGCTACAACCGCAGATATCGTTGCCTAAGGTTTACCAATGCTTTAGACGAGAAAGGATCTCTTTATTCATTCCTGAGCTAACATAGTCCATCAAGCATATCAATACGAGACCCACTTGGATCCTAAGGGGTTACCTCACATTTTCATAAGAAGTTAAAGGTTTTACTAGTAGTAGAGTTTAAAAAATTACTCAGATAGCTATTCTGCCATCTAAAGTGTCGAGCTCTTACGATTTAATAATAGTACCTGGGCGTTTTCCTTCAGTGGTAACAAAACTGACGGTCCACATGTCTCGGCGCACGCCGACTATTGGATCTGGAATTGTCCCAAGAAGTGCTGAAAATATACGCTATACGATAACTTCAGTCCACTAAAAATCTCAAGCTAAAATGTACCAGCTACTACTCCAATCATCCATGTGCATAATGATAGAACAATGGCGACGGATACTTGATTAAATGCCTTTGCTTTTGTGCCATAATAACAAATCGCAATGCACCTATTTAATCCCAGCATAGCATAACTAATCTAAAAGTCCCAATTTAGCTCACGATTCCGCTATGGGATTTGCTAAATTTAATTACCACTCCCGCTGTCCAAGCAGCTATCGAAAGAAACGAAATCATGAATTGAATGACGTACACTTCCTCCTGCATCGCATAGACATTCTTCTTGCTATTGTTCAAGAGCAGATAAGTTTCCTAAAATGATTTTACAAATAATAACACTTATAATTTAAAGCTTCTAATAATTTGAAATAACATTTTCATATGTTCGCAGTCTTGCAGATGTGCTGTTAGGTAGTATTTCAGCCGACGAGAATGGATACTGATCTTCTGTGAAAGAATACACACGATCTGACCACAAAATATCGCATCCACATGCAATACCAGCTAAAATGAATGAATTTGTTATCCCTCAGAAACCTTTCCATTGCAAACAAATAAATTCAAGGTAAATATTGTCTCGAAACGCACAAATATTTTTCGTTTCCCGTTGAATACACTCCGTCTAACATCTTATGCACTACGAGGGCGCTATGGGTATTCAAGCGACGTTATCTAACTTTGCGTGACGGTCCCAACGAACAACGCCGTTTCTTGCGACAATCACAGTGTCAACTATGGAAGTCACACCGGCCAATGCACTTCCGAAATGAATAACTGCGTACCTTTTCATTGTAATTTTCGCCCTATATTTCAGATTCCCATTGTGTTTTGAAAGCAACGTTTCTTCAAACCTATGCCGGAATCTATATGATTCTATATATTCTTTCTTGTTTTTTGGAGCGTATTCAACTTTTGTGTACAACAATGATTTTTACCGCCGCACGTTCCATACAGGACCGATTCATTACAAGGATTCAAAATGAGATAATAACGAGTTGCTCCTCAAGAACTACGCCTCACACTGCATACGATGCCAGCTCTTCGAATTTTTTCGGCAACTTTTTAATCATCAGTGCTCCAAGAGATGGAACCTTGATGGGCGGAACTATACGGAAGTAGACAGAGACTGCTCCATCTTTGCACGGGCATATATATATATATATATATATATATATATATATATAATATCTTTTCCCTTCGTACGACGATAACGTTTACAAAACAGGTGACGGCGCCGACCAAATGTAGGTGATCCAAACCTTTTTCAAAAATGTCTTTTGTTGCTATATAGGACCAGATAGAATTGGATACAAAAACGGCAAAGAAACTACAATGGATCATCTTACTTAATTGGATATTTGGACCATCAGTTTTCACGAGTTGTGCGGACCCACGGACATTTGTCATTTGTTTCTGTTCCTCGCAATGACCATCCATTGTGGTGGTTTATTCGACCATGGTGGTACTCGTTCGTGTAGGTGGCCGTCCTTGGGATCGCCTGCATTTTCATGGAGTCCACTCTACAGTTTTTTTCGCCCATTTGTCGCCTGTTCTTATCATTATGTCGGCTGTTCACCTGTGCTTAGCTTTCGAAGTAAATTCTTCTAGATTCTGAAGATGTGACAGATTTTGAAGATTAGAACTTCCATTCAGGCTACATATTGAGATTGCAGTTATATTTCATCATTCAAGCGCTCTGTGAGTAGTGCGGATTTTTCTTGACGCGGCTGAAGTATCAGTCCGCGTCTCAGCAGCATAACAGAGGACGATTGAATCGAAGAGGTGAGCGCGGATTTTCGGACCCTTCAGTTGGTCGGTGGCTTTTTTGAGAGGTCCGAATGCGGCTCAAGCTGCTCTTCTTCTTCATGAGATTGTGTTAGTTTTCTGCACTCAAGCACAATTATAGTTGATTCACTCCAAAATGAATATAATCGAAGATACTAGGCACCATATGGTTTGTTCATTCAATTGTGGAAATCTAGATTTTTGACTGCTTCTTTTTTTCTAAGCTTTTTATCAAGTCATGGTTTCCGTATATCCGTATTGGTGCAGCAGGTAACATGTCAACCTCTGAAAAGAGTAACCGCTAAGTGGAAGCCGGTCTGAGATCTGAGTGTTGCAAATATGTCAGCATGACTATGGCAGTATTTCGCACAGTAAGCTGCCATGAAAAAAATAATAGTCAGAAAATGAAAAGTCAAACATTACAGTTTCGACACTAATTGTATTCGTTGCCTACCATAAGAAGTGAAAAATTGGACGTCATTCCATGCCGGATGTATGAAGATATTAATATGTTGACCAAGTGCACATTGGTTCTACAAACTTCACAAGAGAAAGGACTACTTACTTTGAGCACCATCTGCTTAGCTGTTTTTGAAGTGGAATGGTAAGTCTGATAAAAAAAATCTACACGAAGCTGTGACTAAATTTTAATTAACTATAAACCCTTAGTGTTGTTCAGCGGAAAAAGTCAGTAGTTGGAAAAAATGAGTTTACCGATAGTCATTGTAATGGTGTCTGCCAGTGCCACGTTCGCCATCAGTGTATAAGCCGACAGCTTGTACACCTCGTTGGTACATAACATGACGAAAGTGACAGAATTGCAAATTGCACCGAACACACCTACAGATCCTCATGACACCATAGTATGGAGAAAAGTATTGAAAATATTCCCCCACCAAACAGAATATAGCAGCCGCCAACAAATAGAATAGCCGAGTTCCACATTGTTGTCAAAGGCATTTCAATGAGCACGTATCGTTAAAAGAATTAGGCGTTTAGCATCGCTAACTTCCAGACGCACTAAAACCACGATTAGTAAGAGAATTACAGAAATTGTCAACAGGCTATTGAAGATTGGGACATCGAAGCTAATTAGAGCTACAAATTCTATTCGGTTGTTGGTACAAAGAAACACAACCGGAAACAAATAAACGGTAAAGAAACACAGAAGGAAGCAAGAAACAAGAAGTTGCGGAGTACAGTTTAACATTTATTCTATAGCGAACCATAAAATGCTTTAATCACTTTTAACTAGATATTAATGGGATTGTAAAAAAAAATATAAACTCAAAAGATGTGTGAAGTCATGCTATGTACTGACGTTGCTATTAAAATCCTACGGTCATCCTTAAGTAAGCTAGTTTTTCCATTGGAAGAAATAAAAATAGCGATATGAAAAGAACCAGCCAGTAAGAAGAGCTCTGTGAGGTTCTGCTGTGACGCTCTCTCTATGTAGACATATCTTCATTCATTCACATCTCAGCAGAGCCTATTGTGATAAAAGCATTTCCATTCATGGCAACATAAAATTTGTCAAAGTTGACGAAATTTTTTAAATTTAACAGTGCTCTCTATCTAAAACTATGCACTTACCCCGTCTTCAGAGCTCTGCGGCTATTCGACAGCTTGGCCGAAGTCGGATGGCGTAGCGTTTATCACCTTGTGATTGCTAAGCTCTAAGGACTCCATTTTTGAATCCATTGAAAAGAGTGTTAGCTATGCATGGATCACACGTTACCAAATATGATAAAACCACAGATATTAGGATTTATTGTGAATTTTATTGTTTAGAGATAAAGCACAAAGTCTACAAAGGTTTACTACCGAAGGAAAAATTCACTTGAGTCATGACATGGGGATTTGTTTTTAAACTTCGTGAAATCCTCAAAACGTTGAACGCTTTAGCTGATCATTACTTTCTGCAGTTATCGAAGGCTGAACGACTCAAGCTACTAAACTATGTACTCGCTAACGAACGAAACAAACAGGTGAGGGAAGAACTTTGAACTTGTGAAAATATTTGAAAAAGAACAAGAACTTTCTCTTGCGATTTACAAGAGGAACTACTCTTCTAAATTCTTCATCCATTCACATATCAATTTGACTTAGATCCCGAAAATCAAGGAGTAATTTCCACATGTAAACAGCCCTTACTGAGGCATTCATGTACCATAGAGTGTAAATAACCGAATGAAAAACAGAAGTATTCTAAAAATGAAAGTCATTATTTTTTAACTTATTATTTACTGACTACTCTTTTTAACGGCAGGGTATATATTGCGAAATATAACTTTAATGATGCTCAGTTATTTGCAAGACTCCGGACAGCAGATGTCTGCGGTAGAGAACGAACGCGCTATTGTCCTTTTCGGGGATGGTGTGGTGGTGAACGCGTTACTCCCCTGTAAGGACAGTAGCGCGTTCGTTCCCCACCGCAGACACATGCCGTCTGGAGTTTTGCAAATATCTTAGCATTATTGTGGTTATATTTCACAAAATACCCTACCATGAAAAAGGAATAGGAAGTAAATAAAAAGTGATTACACTTTACACATAATTCAAGGTATTCTCATGTCGCGCCAGAAAAGCCAAAAGATCAATCGAAAGACATTAATCTACGACGGCACGAAAAGTATTACACAGAAACTTAGTGAAGCACCCAACCGACTATCTATTAACCTCGCCACTGATCAGTGATTCACTGTTTTCTTGATAAACGGACACGAGGTTGTTGTTATACTATCTTTTCACAGCAGTTGGCATTTCGCCGGTTTCACATTCTCCAAAGTCTGGAAACGTCAAACTGATACGCAATGTGCTAATCCAAAACTTTGATCACCTCGGTAGATGAAATTTAACACGTAAAGCTCACTCGTATGTATAGTAAACAGTGTTTTGCCTAATTTTAAGTTTAGTCTTCAGCTATTCTTTTGAATGCATACAGAGTGGTCTACCCGTTTTGCCACTATATTCCTCCCCAGACGCTTTACAAGAGAGTGGATAAACGGTACCCGAACTCACCCAATCATCATCTGCACTGGCAGGGCATACTACGCAATTTTGCATTGCGCATAGTTGAATACACTGGTGAAACAGGTAGACCGCTGCACGTCCGTGGAAAAAACTCTGGTCGGTAAACTTAAAGTTAAACCAAATAGGCGACTAAACGTGCACAGAACGGAGAGACATGACGGCAGGGTTTCGAAGTAGAACTCACTACTCTCGCACAGGAATTTAAAACAAAACAATAGCGCGTAAAATCCTTGAAGCATTCCGGACATTTCCAAAAAAAAAGCCGAAGATGAAGCGCAAGAGAGGAATGCTTCGTTCATCACGCGTAAGCTCACGTAATATCGCAGACTGATGTTTTAAAGTAAGAGAGTCCCATTAGCCAAACACGTAAACTTTGTGCGGTTGTTTTCTAACAACAAGTCCTATGAGGAAGACCTATGAAGAAAAAAAGTGTGGATGTCTTTAAAAAGAAATTGCTCTCAATTCAGTTGAAGTTTAGATTTTGGATTAAGCTGACGTTTCGGCGAATTTCGCCTTCTTCAGAGCCTGGAAAGGTCAAGTTGATAGCAACTCGGCCAGACGCCTCCATAACCAAACAAAGAAACCCCAAACCAAGATTTCAATCACTTTGAACACAGCTTTGCACACTCACCGCTTTCTATGAGGTCTCCACTAAGTATGTCACGTAGAGACCAACCGCACAGAAATCACGTGGAAGTATAATGTGCCCCTCACATCAGAAAAGCAGTTTTATATACTGCCCTATATCACGCGTGATAATGAGGCATTCTTCCCTGCGGTTCATTTTCGGATTTCTGGAATTAATCCAGAGTGCCTCGAGGGTTTTTCGCGCCTGTGTTCTCGATTCGCGTGCGAGGATCGTGACACATACTTCGAAGTCGTCCCCGTTATGTCTCTGGGTCCTATGCGTCCCTAGCGGGGTATTTGGTCTATTTTTGCCGGCTAGGTGTTCTTTCATGCGGACACAGAGGGGTCTACCCGTTTCGCCAATGTATTCGTCACCACACGTCTTACAGGAGATCAGATAAACTATACCCGAGCTCATGCAATCACCGTCTCTACCACTGGGGCAAATTATGCAATTTTGAGTTGCACATAGACGGTCATATAGGCGGTTACGAACTAGCTGGCGCTTAAGATTACTCGGTGGTATTTCAACTACGCTCACCGAATTCTCTAAGCCCGCCCTTCTTAAGCAGCGTTTTATAGCTGTACTTATATCATTTGAGATGAAGGGTAGGATAAACGGGACCCTTCTATCGCTAGAGTTGTCGTTTGGAGGCCTACGATTTCCTCTACACCTATCCTGAGCTACAGTTTCGTAGCCATTAGAAACGGCTATTTGCCGTACCAAGTTCCGGGACTCCTCTCTCTGCTCTCTTCCCGTGCACACGTTGGTTGCTGTTCGAAACATGTTTCTTATAAGCGCCCTTTTCGTGTGAGAGGGGTAAGAGGAGAGGTAATGAACCAAGATATTTAAAACTGCTTTTCTGATGTGAGGGGCACATTATACTTCCACGTGATTTCTGTGCGGTTGGTCTCTACGTGACATACTTAGTGGAGACCTCATAGAAAGCGGTGAGTGTGCAAAGCTGTGTTCAAAGTGATTGAAATCTTGGTTTGGGGTTTCTTTGTTTGGTTATGGAAGCGTCTGGCCGAGTGAGTTGCTATCAACTTGACCTTTCCAGGCTCTGAAGAAGGCGAAATTCGCCGAAACGTCAGCTTAATCGTGAACAAAGAACAATAACACCTCGCGTTTGCTCAAAAAAATACGAACAAAATCACTTGATCAATGCCGAGGTTAATAGAAAGTCGGTCGTGGCAGTTAGATTTTGGAGCTTTTCTATTGAGGTTATGGAACTATATGGCCGATTAGATTGCAATCAACTTGACTTTTCCAGGTCCTGAGGAAGGTGAAGGTGGCCGAAGAATTAGCTATTCTAGTAGTAGTAAGTAGTAAATTAGTAACAGTAACCCTACGAGATAATTTTAGAAGGAGAGCGACGCCCGAAAGAGAAGAGCTTGACCGAAACAAAATCCTGCTTATTTTGCTCTTTTATTAGCGATGAAGCAGGTGTAGCTATAAAGCGAGGCTTAAGAAGAACAAGTTTAGAGGAATCGGTAGCGATAATTGAAATACCACCGAATACTTTTCGTCGTCAGTTAGTTCCTAACCGCCTATATGATCACCTGTGTGAAACACAAAATTGCGTAATCTGCCCTTATGGCACGGACGGTGACTTCACGAGTTCATGTACGTACGATACACCTGATTTCTTGTAATATTTGTGGAAATAAATATATTAGCGAAACCGGCCGACCTTTATGTATTCGCGTAAACGAATACGTAGATGGCAAGCGAAAAACAAGACAAAGTACCCCACTAGGGACGCATAGGGTAGAGAAGCACAGTGGAGACGATTTTGGTATAAAAATCACTATCCTTGCCCTGGATGCCAATAGACCAATGCGCAAGCTTCTTAAAGATTTCTGGACACATACCAAGAACCCTGAAATGTCCAGCGATCACGCATGATCCTGTCCCGTATCTTAGAACTGATTTTTGATGTGGGTCGTGCACTCATCATCCACGAAACGGCAGTTCTTCCTCAGTGGAAGGTTCTTAGACAAGTAAAAACGGGTGGGTTTTTCGAGAACTTGTTGATTATGGGTTTATCGCTCGGACTTTCAACTTTCTGTTTGTGTTATCGAAGCGCTTAGACTAATAAATTGAGTATCAATATTCCAGGCTCTGAAGAAGGCGATACC